TTGAAGGAGAATAGATTTAAACTGGATCTTACAAAGAAGTTCTTCAGTACGAGGCCGGCAAGACTTTGGAATAAATTGCCCAGAGATATTGTGGCTGCCCCCTCCCTGGAGGGGTTAAGGCCAAGTTGGACGGAGCCTTGAGTAGCCTGGTCTAGTTGAGAGGCGTCCCTGCCCATGACAGGGAGGTTGGACTAGATCTCTAAGGTCCCTTCCAGCCTAGGCCATTCTATGAAATACGGCGTTACTGATTCTCACGTACTATTGTTACACTAGTGCTGAATTTAGGCAAGCTTTAAAAAATTCAGCAATCTATCACAAGCCAATGTAGCAGTGGCTTGATAAAAGTTGATACGTTTCTTGTGCCTGCATGCTGTGTGTAAAGCAGCCAGCCAGGGGTCTTTTGTTCTCCACTTTCAACAAGTAAGTATCTTAACTTGTACCTGTGTTCTGGTTTTGCCAAATTTCTGTTTTCATTTGTTTCTGTCAAGCCATCTACTTGGGAAAATAAATAAGGTAAATTTATGTCTTAAGTTTAAAAATACACACATGTAACCACAGTGTGATGTCAGGATGGATGTGAAGTGAACTAAGGAAATGAGAAATTCTTCAGATACCTTTTTTTTTTAATTGTTTAAAAAATATTAGTATGTCAAACACGTATCTATTTACATAGGTGTTTGATAAATTAGGCAGTAAAGGAAACTACGAAGTTTAATATTGGAGGTACTCAGAATATCACTAATGAATGTAGTAAAGCAAAATAAAGTTTAAAATATCAAAATAAGGTATGTGAGTAAAAAGCATTGTCCAAGCAGTTTTGGTGTGAAACTTACTGTACTGGAATCAAAATAATTTAACATGTGTTGTAGTTTATAGATTACTGATTAACAGTTTCAATTTTAAATACTATATAAATTCTTCTGGTGACTTACTTTAAAGAATGACCTTAGATGTGAGTTAAAAATTGAGACCAAGTGTGTTAACAACTATTGTATGGACAATTTCACCAGATTTGAATAAATGTAAGTTCTATTTATGCTGTTACAGACTTTACATTTAATTCCATTGCTACGGTGTTACTAGCTTGCTGGAATGCCTTGAGATCTTTTGAGTGCTAGAAACTGCAGGGAATATTTGCCTGCAGCTCAGATGGTCTTTGGTACCAAAGACACAATTGCAGGAGACAAATCCATTGGAAAGGAGACTTAATTGATTAGAGTGATAGGAAATTGCCTAGATGCACTTCCCTCAGAAAAACATTTAAATGTGTATAGGTGCAGATCCTATCTGCCATACATAAGTAATTATTTCTATTTGTCTAGATCTTATTCGTATGAATGGTATAGTAATACAGTACAATTAGTAAAAAACTCAACAACATTGTAGTTAACGTACAAAGATCCCCTGATGACATCTGTATATTTTGATTGCAGCTTGCATTTGGTATAGATGTATTTTTTTTTCTTACTACCATGTCTAGTGTGAATTTTGGCCTGTGGTAACCTATGTATTCTTAAGAAGGCTGTGGGGTTTTTTTATTTATTTATTTCTAAATTTCTTAGATTATAAGCACATCACAAAGACTGTCCAGTTCGGGGAGTGTTCTGATTAGGAGTCCATACAACCCGGCTCCAACAATGGTCATGCAGACACACGTAACAGAAGCTTCTGGGTGGGTCCCGGGGTAAGATTTTTGTTCTGTGTTTGAGGATCTGTTCTGATTTTTTTCCTTTATTTATACTGTTGAATCTCTATATTGGCTTATGGCTTCTAGTTCTTGCACAACTGAAAGGACTATGCTCTTTAGCTCGTTCAATATCTAGAGCATGTGAACATGCAAGTACAAGCACCAGACATCACTGTTTAAATTTTGGCTTATGGCAGTGTCTGTTTGTAAAAAAAGCCACAAATTCATGAGTCTTTTTAAAAGAAACCTTCATGTTTTCCGTAACTTCATAGTATATCCAAGTAGTTTCGCTGTTGAGTGTACAGGGAGAGAGACTGTCAAAACCAGAGGGGTTGAAGGATAAGACTATTATGGAACATTTTGAATGTTAGTCAGTGTTGTATTTTTAGTACTGTTTTCATGGTAGCAACAAGTTTTCATGGGGTTTTAAGGTATACTTCAAAGTAACATGACTGTCTCTTCTAAGGAAATTTTATCTTTACAGTATTTAATGATTAATTTATTTTTTTTTAATATCAGTACTACTGTGCTTATCTGTTTCAAGACAGATGTGATTTGCCTCTGAAAACAAAAAAGTAATTTATTTGTATACCCAGGTTAATTTTTTCTGAACAGGTGATGAATGTCAGCGGTACCTTTCTAGCTTTAGAGGTGGGAAAATGGAGCATCCTAGGACATGGCAGAAATGAGAGCATAATGTTTGTACGTTGACTTAGTTCATTCTATGCTGTAAGCAAGGACTGTCATAGGGTTGTACTTCCCAGTCACTGTATTCCCACCAGAGTCAATAAACTACATGCCCAGCTGAGCAGTTTTTAAACTTGATTTTTTTGCTGCATATGTGTTTACCTGCTCAAAATACCTTTTGAATCTACTTGATTCTGATTTTATTTGAAGGAATTGTCAAAGATTACTTTGTTTCTGCAAATGCTGTGAAGTGCGGAGGCCAGGCAGAAGTTCTTTCACTACCTGGAGGAGGGAAAATCTATACTGTCCACAGCTTGTTAAACTAGGGAATTAATGCCAATTAGCTTTCTCAGGCTTCATCCAAACCCAGGTGATGGAGATTCCCACGGAGGAACCTAGTTGCAGTGCATCCCCCACCAAGGATTAGCACAATCCTCCTGTTTGTATACTGCCAAAACCTAGACATGGTGTTTACAGAGCCTAAGTATTGTTTCACTGACAAAAAGGAGCAGGATGTTCTTCAGACTGGCCAATCAGTGGTGATCCCTGTGGAAGTCCATACAAAAGGTTGTATTTTCATCTGAAGAATGGAGGTGAAGAAGAGTCTGTAGTATTGCCAAATCTAAGCGGTGACCCCTTACTGAAAACAGTTCCAGAGGATTGCAAATGATGGCCTCTATAGTCTATCGATCAGGACTCGATAGTCTTGGTGACTATTAAGCAGGTATTCTTTATGGCAGTGCTGGATGCACAGGGCATCACTTCACCTAATGTGCGTGCCGTACAGAGTTAGGTGTATAGCTTCTATGCAGGTTATACATACGTATGCATGATATTTCTCAGAAATTATCAACATAGTAATTATTTTCTGAGAACTCATTATCATAGGTTACCACCCACTCCTGCGTGTGCATTATAGTCTCTTGGTGGGTTTTAGAGATATCTGGTGGCTGTTTCCTTCATTCCCCTCTTCATCACCACGTTCTTTTGGTGAACTATAGCCTGTACTCCCTTGTTTTTGCTGACAAGCAAGGTCTGCAGTCTTGAGGCATCCTGTGCCTGTTTATCTCATAGTAGCCTTGCATTCCATTCTCAGAGATAAGCCCCGCTCAAATCATTACAATGTGCCTACATCTCCATCTCACAAAGGCATTGTTACATGGTTCATTGCTGCTGCTTGTTGAAAGGCTTTTAGCTAGGAAATTTCCATCAGACCCTCGCTTCACGAGTCTAGACTACTCTCTTTACCCAAGGTTTACTCCTCATCAGATTCCAGATTGTTCCCAACAGCATACTTATTCTCAGGTTTCCATACAAGCTCCATCAGCCGGGCTCACAGAGCAGGGGCTAGCTCTCCTTTCACTGCTGTTCCAGGTCCCTGTCACTCAAGAAAACGCGGCAGCCCCAGCCCCCCCGACCCAGGTGTGCCACATTCCGGCAGCTTGACGGGGTAAGCACCATGGACAGGGATCGGCCAAAGCAAAAAATCCGGTGGCTGCTTCCGAGGCAATTGTCTGCTGATGGGTGGCACAAGCAAATCCCTGCAGGCAGGCTTTCATGGCACAGGTCTTGAAACCCATCACTTCTGTTCAGCTCCCTTCATAACATTGTCAGGTTTTTAGCTGCATCAGTATGTGCAGTGAGCCCCTGGTTCTGAAACTGCAGGGTAACAACATGAAGCAGTTCTCAAGCAATATGCATTGTAACAGCTGCAAGCATAAAATACGTGTTTGGAATACAACTGATGAAGTCTACTTGCTGTGGCTAATAAGCAGAATGATAAGGAAACCAGCAGTGATTGGTGACTGCTATTCTTATGCGAAAATCACGTCAACTACTTTACAGTATCTCTCTTTAGCAACCTATGCATCAACTCTAACATGTTTAGTGTTTTACCTTGGTTTTTCATTTAAAAATACCAAAGCATTCAAAGACTGAAAATATAGAGTATATCTTATGTACTGTTTCAAGGCATTTTTCTTGCATTTGGAGGAATTTTCAAAGGATCCTAGCTTCTCTTTTTTGGTGGGATTTGGTTATCTAGCTCACATCATCACTTCCTGTAGTTCCAGATGAAGTCACTTCCCAAAAATCATAGGCAAAGCATGGTAAAATTTGGAGTAGAACTTCTTGGGCAGTGAGCTCAGACAACCTCTGAAGTCCTAACCACGTTCCCTCAAGTTTTGCCAAGCTGTGTTTGTGCTGTTTTCCCCTTTCAGTAAAGATGTAACACCAAATGTTAGTAGCCAGCTAGGCCCAAAATTACATGGATTTTGTTGGTCTAAATATGGAATGCTGTTTTCATCTAAGTTGAATTGTCTTTTCTTAGGGACAGAAAGCGAATTCGAGAATTTATAGAATCAGATTTTTCAGAAAGGTGCGTATTACTGAACATATATATGTGTATATTTGTATATATTTTATGTATACAGTCATACCTGATTTACTTCTTCAGATATGGCCAATCAGAGAAATGGGTGTATGGTTCACACTTTCAGTAGTTTTGACTCTCCATGTAAAAACTATGTTGTATGCTATTCCTTGTAGTTACAATTCATTGTGCTTTGCTTTATCACTATCTGATAAATACATTTGCTGTTGCAGATGATACTGGGAGTTGTCAAGAAAAAACACATCTTCAGAAACAGGATTGTTCTAGTTTTCAATGTAACTAATACTTGTAAGGGGATTATCTTTCCCTTTGCTTCAGAAGCTTCTTTGAATGCATTCAAGGTGGTTTTGTTTGTTTACTTACCAGGGATTAGTCGAATAACTATGTAGGGATTAGGAATGTTTCCAAAAAAATTTTCTGGTGTTCTTTTTCTTTATTCCTTTTCTTCTTTCCTTTTTTCCAGTATTTTGGTTTCTTAAATATTTTAAAATACAAGAATGTTTTTCAAAAAATTTAATAATTTCCTTAGCTTGTTACTCTTGACAGAACTAGACCTTTTTCTCTAAAAGAATATATCTCTCTGAAACCAAATTGTAAAACTGTAATTAAAAAAAAAAAACCAAAACACAAAAAACAACCCACAACAACACAGCTGAGTTTTTTAAAGACTTCTGTTGAAATATGTATCCAAATCTAGCTTGTGTGATAAAATCAGTTGCTCCTGTTTTTTTCATTACCATTATCTAAACTTTTGCTTTTTTTGAGGAAGAAAATGAATGTAAAAATAACCCTTGTTGTCAGTTATTAATCTGGCACCATAAATATCAATTAGTATGTATTTATTCTCCACAAAAGACATTCTTATATCTCAGTCTTAACTACGGTGCCAAAGATATTAAAGTTGGTGGTTAGGAGATCTGAGGTATCTTCTTCTGTATTGTAAACAGGGGTGTCTGACCTCTCTGTTTTAAAGCACAAACATGAGAGTTCCCTGTAAATCTGGCTTCCAGGCACATAAACCCCCTGTGAGGTTTTCCCCCTTTTTTTAGTTGCTCTTCTGGAAAACTACCTAGAGATGAATTGCAAATCCATTTTTTTAAGCATCTGCCCAGTAGCTTGTGTTCAAATAATATCAGTATAGAAATTGCTGAGAAAGAAGGGTGGAAGGGGCTTCTGTGTACGTTTTTGCCAACTTGTGAGAAAACAGAAGCTGGTTGAAAAAAAAGCAGAACAGTAGACAGTACATAATGTCATGAGTCCAGATTCCTCTTGCAAAAGGTAGATCTTCTGCTGTGTAGCAAAGTAGCTTATTAACATTCAGTGTATTAAAGTAATTCCTTTTTTCCTTCCAGTAAGAGAAGCAAAAAAGGAGACAAAAATGGGAAGGGTCTGAGGCATTTTTCAATGAAAGTATGTGAAAAAGTTCAGCGTAAAGGAACAACTTCATACAATGAAGTTGCTGATGAGCTGGTATCAGAATTTACAAATTCTAACAGCCACCTAGCTACAGATTCGGTAAGCAATTATATGTTGAAATTTGTTAAACCACTACAAAATTGTCTGATTTATCATGGTATTCTGTCCCTTCTGTTTGCACTTTTGCTGCCATACTCCATACTTTCACTTTGCTACTTTACAAAGTATAAAGACTTACCCTCTGAAATTAAAAAAACAAGAAAAGAAATAAAATGAATAATTGAACTCCGTCTAAATTATAAACAAAATAGAGAAATCTGCCAGAAGAATTATCTTTTAAAAAAAGGCTATTCTTGTATCCACCATACACAATCTTGTCAGGCTTTGCAACTGTAAGAGGCTTGCCATGATGGGAATGTGCTGCACAGAGGCTTCAAGCAGGTCTGAAACTTCGGTTTGCACCCACATATGCCATGTGATATCCAAGTAGTAGCACAGATGAAGGCATTATATTTTAATAACACTCTTGATTTAAACTGCCATTTTCACTTTTTATCTTCTACATATCTATGAAGGATGTGGTCAATCTCTTTTTTGAATTGCTTTGTTTTAATTAACACTGCATTGTTTTCTTAGCAGGCTTACGATCAGAAAAATATTAGACGGAGAGTGTATGATGCTCTTAATGTCCTGATGGCAATGAACATAATTTCAAAGGAGAAGAAGGAAATCAGATGGATTGGCCTTCCTACAAACTCAGCTCAGGAATGTCAGAATCTGGAGGTAAAGTGAGGTAGATGGGAAATTGGGAAAGTCTGTGTATTTCACAGGTTGTGGTAATGGAGATGCTCTACTTCCAAAGAGGGTCTTTTTCTCAGTTTAAACTTAATTCGTTTTGAGTCTTGCACACAATGTTAAAATACAATTTTTGATACGTGAATAAACTGAAAGTATATCTATATGTATGCTTAGTTCAGTTTATTTAGTATACATTACTCAAAGCTTAAAAAAAGTTTACAAAAATGGACATAGAAACCTGAATTACCCAGACTAAAGTCAAAAGAATTTATGCTGCACTTATGCTTTCAAAATGGTATACATTTAAAAGTAGACCAATTTTCTATTCTTGTTTGTACTTGGAATTGCCATTCAAAGGAAATTAAATTGAAAAATAATTCCTGCTAGGGTGTCAAATACGAATTATGAACTGGCACGGAAAAAAATAAAGTTTTACTTAGTGGTAATTTCCATTATTTTTCCAGCACACTGGGAGTTACCATGTTTTTGCAGGGATGCCAGAATTTATATGCACAAATGTTGCTTGTTTTTCAGGCCAAATTCTCTATAAATAAAAAGCACAAGTTACTATATTTACTGCAGAGTGCTGTAAATGACTGTCTGTAAATACATCTTAATATGTATTATATTTGTGATACCTTGTGACATTGAACATCCTAAAAGGTGGGTGGGGTGCCTTTCCATTACAGAATGGTTTTTTGTGTGTGTGCAAGTTCATTTACATTGGTTGTTTTTCTAGATGTAATCAAAAAGCTTTTACTGTCCTTGTCCATTACAGCAACTTGGAAAATACATCCGCCCAAGGAGTATGCGTATAATTGATCAGAGATTCTTTCTTGAAAAAAAAAAAAAGAAAAAGAATGGATAAATCTACACTTTACATGCATTCATGTGAACATTTTATCTTCAATATAGGTTCTTATTACAAAGACCAAACTTGAATTTCATTGTATTGTCTACAATGATCATATGCTATGCACTGTTTCAGGCTCTAATTACATATGCACAAAATGGAAGCCAGGAATATTTTCTTAAAATGTTGCTTCCTATGACATAATTGAAAATAATAGAAAATCATAGAAAATAAAGCTGCATTTTCATAGTGTGAAATCAAGACTTAACTTTGCTTTTAAAGCTGTATCAAGTGCCAACGCTTTTTACAGTGTAATTCCATAATATGATTACTAGTACAAAAATGAGAAGTACAAAAACCTGTTACAGAGAAACCATGTCTAAATTATATCTGTATTGTTTATTGGGTTTAAGAGTTACATATTTGTTCCAGCAAAGACAGTCATCTACTGTGTTCTGGAATAAGCATTTTAAATATTAAAGGGTGTGTGGAACCACCATAAAGCAGCATCATAAATAAAATATGGGGTGTATAGGCCAGCAAAGTTTTAAAAGATTGCATCATTTAGTTCAGCAGATGAATGAAAAGGTACTTTAAGGGTTTAATATTTTTGAGAGCAGAGATACACTGCTGGTACCAACAGGGTGATGAGCAAAAGTACCTTTGAAACATGATGACTGCTGTATAATTATTTAGTGTTGCCCTAGAGCGCTATTTAAAATACCATTGGATGTATCTGCAGTGCCAGTAGGCATCCAGTACTGTTGCTGTGCTAAACGCTGCATGCTTAGGTGGAAGACAGCTTTGCCCCCTAAATTGGCATTAACAGAAGTGTTGCAGGAAGTGGATTCTGTGCTTATGTAGAAAATATTACCTCTACCCCCTTTTTGTTGCTGAAATCTTGTTAGTTTAATCAAGTGTCTAATGAGTAGTCCAAACAAAAAGTGGAGGTCACTGGAAAGATGCAGGTGACGATCCTGAGCCCAGTCTCCAAACATTTATGTCTAGTAGCATGGAGACCAGTGGAAGGGATGTGCAAAATACAGAAGAGCTGAGGGCAGGAGTTAAAAAAAAAACGAACCAAAGCACCCACTTAAGCAACTGTTTAATTTGATGCTAAGGGATACTCAGAGCACAATACAAAAGAGGAGGAACAGGTGGGGAAATAATACAGAGTCTTGTAATAATTTTTTACTGGAGTTAAAATTGTTAACAAAGAAATTACAGTTTGTCAGACCTATTTTATGGAGAAACTCATGTGACTGCAGTCAGTCTTGAAAAATGAAGAAAATACATAGCAAATGTGTAGGGCTGAAAAGAATTTTGCAATTTACTTATTGTGCCTTATTTACTTATTTACTTATTGTACTTATTTACTTATATGGACTTTACCACCATTTTCAAAGAAAGTATGGATTTTTTTAACAGTATTAGCACACTGGTGTAGCTCTAAAGCCTGTTCAGTTTGGCACAATGGAATAGACAAGGTAACTAAGTAAATATTTTTATACATTTACATTCATATTTTAAGATAGAAAAACAGAAGCGGATTGAAAGGATAAAACAGAAGCGAGCCCAACTACAGGAACTGCTGCTGCAGGTATACTTAATTTTAAGCATTTTCTCTGTAAATGAAGTTATCATGTGCAAATCTGACATGTTAAAACTTATCAAGTTCTGTCTATATTTATTTAGCAGCTGTGATATACTAGGGAGAAAAGTTGTGACCTTTCTGGATTCTAGTAGGGGGACCTCTTACCCTCACTTTTTTGGTTTAATTTTCCCCATTGTAAAAGAGTGTGCTGCATCTGCGTGCCACAAGCTTCTCTAAGTGTTCTGCTGAAGCTTTGTAAGCATTAGTGGGAATGAGAACAACTCATGAGTCCCCTTTGTTGACTCCCAAGGCTGCCTGGAGTTAACCTTTTCCAACTGGTTCTTACTGGAAAATTTCTCTTTGATGCTAAGCTATGAAATTCACAACTGAACTTGTATAAATGTGTACAGACTTATTTTGAGATAGACATTTCTGGATCCTAAGAGCAGAAGACTGACAAATCCAGTACTTTTACGTTCTGACATGCATCTTTGGGACTTGACTTCTAGCTTTGATTGCAGAAATATATTTCAAATGCACTTTTGCTTATAAATACAGTTATGAGCATTCTTAACTGTTTTGGTCTCTGCAGACTTTCAGTAACTATAGATGCAATCAAACTTGTTTATGATGTTACAGGCAATAAGGCTGTATATTTTTCCTCGTGCAGCTATATTGATAAAATTTTCATTTAATTTGATATGCACTGAAACTTTTAGATATCTAATATTTCTTCTTTTTTCATCACCAAAAACTCTACCTAGGGTGCAATTCTGATTCTGTCATGTCTGACCTAATAAAGTAGCAGCTTCTCTAACTGTAACATAACAGAATCCTGGTGAAAATAAGACAACTCAGGCCCTCTTAACTATCACTCTGAAAATGACAGAGTGATATTCCTTTACTATCTACACCTGTCATTATTTTCTTATGTTCATTGTCAAATGGTTTACCAGTCCTTTGGAATTCTGTCTATCCATCTTTCAATTAAGTGGAATAAGTATTGCCTCAGAATGGATAAGTACACTGTTTTAAAATCCCTCAAATAACATTACCTGAACACACACATTTTCATACATATCATAGAATCATAGAATGTTTGGCGTTGGAAGGGACCTCTAGAGATTCTCTAGTCCTACCCTCCCTGCTAGAGCAGGATCCCCTAGGGCAGCCACACAGGAACGCGTCCAGATGGGTTTTGAAAGTCTCGGGAGAAGGAGGCTCCACAACCTCTCTGGGCAGCCTGTGCCAGTGCTCTGTCACCCTCACAGTAAAGAAGTTTCTCCTCATGTTCAGGTGGAACTTCCTATGTCCTAAATTAAACCCATTATTTCTTGTTCTATTACTGGGCACCACTGAGAAGAGATTGTCTCCTTCTCTTTGACATCCACCCCTCAGGTATTTCTATACATTAATAA